CCCTGGACTATGTAGATTATATTCATCGTTTTATTATTTCAAAAAAATTATGTATCGTCAACAAAAATAATTTTAAATTTAGATTAAAACTAATGTGTACTTTTTCTGCCAAACATATTTTTTGTCTTCTTCAAACACATTGTTTTAAAACTAATTAGTTTTATGCTAATAAATTGGGATGAATTTAAATTAATTTTAAACAACACGAATTTCTTCTTGCAAGAATGCTTCCAATCAATCAAAATTTGATCAACATAAACAAACTAATATGTTAGAAAAAATTTTCAGAATGATACTTACAGAAAAAGAATTTCTAGAATTAAACACTATACAAAACGTAAATATCATGAGAGTCGACATTTTCCTGGGGGTTTAAGCTGGAGCAATTTAAAAATTATAAGAAAAATAAAGTTAAATAAGGTTTTATTGCATAGAAGTATTTTTTGTAGAATTCATATTTATCTTATATATGTTGAAACAAATTATGGACAACCTAGCCCACTGACGAATCTAGCATCTAAGAGAACTGCCGTAATAGCGAAAATTAATTTAAACAAACAGCGTTTTTATTCTCAAATAATATCTCATTCCCTTTGAGAGTTTCGTGTAATCTAAGTTAAATGATGGGTGAGCTCCAAATAACCATAACCAAAATTGAACAAATTATGATTTATAAGTTATAAAATTCCGAACCGTTAAATAAATCTCAAAGAAGTGTTTGTGTGTTTTATAAGGCATGCAATAAAGACGCCCAGATTGGAGAACAAGGGGTCTCTGTTTTCAACTTTAAGTATCTTAGAGGGATGTCACTCATAGCTCTTTAAAAGGGTACGAACGTCATGTATTTCGTTCAAAAATAAATTGAAAATAGGCAATTTTTTAAATATTTATAGATGGTATATTTATGTATTACGTATTACACTTATTTTTGAGAATGTATTCAATATAACTCACAAAAATTTAAGGATCGAATCCAAATAAGTATATTAATATTATTCAAGTAGGCATTCACATAATTTTATAAATAGATCCAGAAGAACTATAAAATACATACAAGAAGTTATTTGGATGAATTATTAAAAAAAATAATGCGACTTTTATCAGTTGAAATTTCAAAATAATTATCGATACTTAAGCATACCTATAGGTTTAAATTATATAGGTTTGAATCCAATAATTGGTCGAATTTTAACTCAGATCAAAGTAACTTGGTTCCGAACATAGAGGCACCCAAGGATGTTTATACGGTTCCAAATTACCTTTGAGTCAACTAATTTTATCCAACTTTTGTGTTTTGTATGTAATGTCATATATAGTGACTACCAAGGAACAAAGGAACGAAGTTCCCTTCGGTAATTGGTGTTAGGTGTACTGGTGGTTGATACGTGGTTTTTTCACAGATACGTTTAACACACCCTCTTTGTATTACCATAGTTACCTTCAGAATGGTTCCAAGTTAAATGATGATTCAATAATTGCTATACCAATCCAATTTTGAGTACCGACAGCAGGAGTTCGGACGGTTGAGACTGGGAACTTTTTACCGACCGTGGGAACCAAATGTTCCTTTGATGATACCGACAAAGCCGTGCCTACAAAACTCATTAACTGCAAACTGCCACGCCCCAATTGTCTTAATTCAGTTCTTATCTAACAGCAATCTACTAATCGATGTTTAATTGCTTTTTAATTGTCTTTTTCCTGGCCACCTGTCATGTTACGTGTCGTGTCATGCTGTCATCCATCTGCTATATGGATATATCTCTCATTCTGCATCTCACTATACACGTTCATTATTGGATATCACAGCAACCCACCATACACCATTTTAATATTCATTAATTTTATTTCTATTTTTATAGTTTCATAAAATATTTAATATTATTTTATTTGTTAAAAAAAGACTGCCTCGGGGAATCGATCCACCGATCCAGAGAGGTTTACTGATTAGTAGTTGGCGCTGTAGACCACTCGACCACGAGGACTCTTAATAATTATTTACAAAGTGATGTATATAATCAACGTCGCCTCGCTGCTTGATAACGTTAAGCTGCGAATTGGTAATAATAAACGTCGAACAGAAAAATCATTCGATTGCCAGAAGGGCCTTAGCGTTTTTCTTGGATATTACTGGTCCAATTCAAACGGGAAAAAAACGGCATTATGTAGAGAACTCGAAAATGTTGAAGAGGCCATTTAGGATTCATTTAAGAGCATTTTTTTACAAACTGATGTCTATTCCAATTTTTTTGCTCAAGTCTAGGTGACAGTATCTTTCTACTTAAAGATGATTGATTATGCAGGCGAGCAAAACCCAGAAAATCCCACATATATATTTTTTATAAAAATTATTTGAAATTAGAGGATTTTAATAAATTTTAAATAATGAAAGAATATCAATTTTTTATCTTTATTAAAATGCTATGCATTATAACTTTTTAAATGTCCTTTAACTACATTAATTTAAGATTTTTAATAAGATTTGGTGCTAATTAAAGAATGTCTTAGTTACTTTTCTGTTTATTACCTGGTTCTTTCAAATGTGCTGTTGATTTTTCATTGTACATAATTGTTTTCTTGTAGGCCTGATGTTGCCTATTGACCGAAACTAGTTGTCGAACTAATAAACAAATTTTCTATTGTGGTAAAGACAGTATTTTACTTCTTTCTTTATAAACAATATTTCAAAAAAAAAACGTAATTAACAAAAATGGCAATATAACAGAAGTTGTTCCAAATGTGTTCTATTTCGTTCATAGGTACATTTTCTTGTCTGCATTTTAATAGATTCTCCAGTTCTCCTCATAATATTTTCCTTTGTGGTTACTGGTTCAGTGTTTACTATTTCACTAAAAGAAATCACGGGAAAGTTGTTGACAATATTGTGAGATACGTTTTGTTATAGTTCATGGCAACTTATTTTGACTGAAGGATCTAATTTCGTCAGTTGACAAGTAACAATCCTATTTTATTTTCTAAGGTTGGTTTTTGGTTATAAGAAATATGAAAAAAGTGTTTTTAATTATTATCACAATAAGCCCTTTATACAATCTTATATGATCTAAAATAATTTAGGAAAATGACTTTAATACCTGTAATGTGGTGGTTATGAAACGTTCTATATAGGAAAATTTATTCTATAATATAATGGAGTTATATATTTAAATCTACTTAGATAAATAATAATGGAATCACATAAGGATCAATATTGGACCCTGTATTATTTATTCTCTATATTAAAGAAATACCTCTTGTCTTACCGGAGTCGTTTACATCACTATATGCTGATTAATTGACATTATTATTTAGTGCCTCTTCTTCAGATCTCTTAACAGATACATTTTCAAATACTCTTTCTCTTCTTGGTCTGGTGATCATCTGATCATACTTTGTTGTTCAATACTGATATTACAAACTATGTGCCATTTAATACTACTCAAATGCCTACTGTTCCTGCATTCAATACATAGGAAATAATTCGGATATTTCAAAGACTCAAAATGTAAAATTTCTTGACCTGTCTGCAAAAGCCACTTTTTAAATGTACATAAATTATTGAATTCTAAATATTTTCAAATAAGAATAAATATAAAACTTTAAAGTTGCACCGTATTGCACTAGAATCAATTATAAAACAATGTGTTTAAGAATACTTTGGTCTTTCTATTTTAAAGTTGCTTACTTTAATACAAAAAAGTAAAAAATCGGCCATGTGCGAGTCGGACTCGCGCATGAATGGTTCCGCACCATCGTACAAGATTTAATACTATGTAAGTACTTTTTAAATACTCAAGCAAATATACTTGGTATAAAACTTTATAATATGCTTCCACTGAAATTTAAAAATATTGTGACGTATGTTTATTTTAAACAGTTTAACTAATTATTCATTTGTATTCAAAACTACACTGATTTATATTTTCTTTAACAATTTAGCTAACTAGACAAAGTCGCGCTACTTTAATAAACATTGGGCGCACTAGTTCTGTTCGAGAAGATTCCCGTTGTTCTATGTGTATTTTTTCTATGAATCATTACGTGTGAAACGGATCTTTCCAGTAACTTCTCGCAGCAGAAAACGTGTATATCGCCAGACCTCCTGGCATCGAGACAGGCCCGGACTGGTTAAAAACGGCTTACACTACAATATTGAAAATAAACTCAAATTCTAACAATCGGTTAAACATTTTCTTATTGAGATGTGTTGTCCATACTCAAATTAAAAGCACCTACTATAAAAAAAGTAAAAACAATGTTAATTTTACCTAAACTGAGGCATTCGATGCTGCATAAAAAATGTGATTGTTCTGTATTTAATTTTGCTACTACATACTATCTGTAATATTTTAAGCACCTCTTTTATAAACTTGACTTGTATTATGTCGTTAGATATCAGAGATCAATAAAGAATTAAATTACTGATTTGTATTTTTTCTAAATTTTCTAGTTTAGATGTTATACTTCGAGCGGAAATAATTGGCTTGTCCTGTATAATTTTACAATTTCACATTTTCTATATTTATTCCTTAGAAATATTTAGACCGTCTTCTCAATTTCATAATGTTTTATATCCCATCGAAGTAAAATCAAATGCATACCGATAAGGTTTATGTAATAAGCCCTCGTAAAATTTTAAAATAAGACGTTTTATAATCAGCGAAGGGTAAAACCAAGAAGAGTGCCATCTTTCGTAACCCCAACCCCAATTTCTGTTTATTTTATAAAACCCTGGGTGTTACCAAACGTTTTTATCTTGGAATTATTACAGTTTGACTAAAAATTTTTTTATGTATATATTGGCTCAACCATATAAACTAAAAACTACACCGTGAAAAGTGACTGAACTTATTAGGATGTGTCCGATTACGGTACGACGTCTGGTGGTAAAAAATGAGACTAATTTTAGGTGGCCCTTTTATTAGCAATATATTGCATTTACGTAGGTATACATCAGTGTCAACGAGCATAATTACTGTGAATTTTGCGAATAAAAGTGAAAAATGGACGATAAAATATGTTGCTGTGTTAAACGAAATGCCAGACTGATTTGCTCGGTCTTTGGATGCAACAGCCGCTCACATAAAGATATAAGTTTAAGCTTTCACTATTTTCCACCAGCTGGAAAACGTTTTGTTAGTGTTGCAAATCACTTTGGAAAATTGGAAAAAATTATTGATTTGATAGTGGCTTGGATGAAAGCATTAAAAATAAAAAATATTACACAGAATATGAAAGTCTGTTTACACCATTTCAAAGTAGATGACTATATATTACCACGTAAGTATAAGTGTTGTAGACATAACCTAAAAAGCACGTGGTCTCTACTATATAACTTTAATTAAAAATAATTTTACAGAATATCATTATTTATTTCTGCTTTAAATTTTTTTATGGGGTTTTTCTTTAATGTGGTACGTCTGCAAGCAGTACGCCGTGATGTTGACGGTTCCACGGTAATTTTTAACTAGATTTTACCACATTTTAAAATATGCCCGGCCCTTGAAACTCTTTCCCCTTCAATAAAGTTCCTATTGTTTGCCTTTGTTTCAGCCCACGAGCAAATTTCACGGATACTTATCATTTTATATTAATTGAAATTTTCACTCTATGTTCAATCCTATCTCTTTGGAAAAATTACCACTATATATCCGCCATGTTTTTTTGGCTCCTCCCATCGGACAGATCCCAATAATCGTAGAGAAAATTTGTAATATATAAGGGCTCTCCAGAAAGTAACAGACGTTTTTAAATGACATATAAACAATTGTGAAAAAAACTATTTTTATTTTATACATTTTAAATGTAAACTCTTTTTTTCAATACCCTCTGTGTAGACATCTGTCGCCTGCGAGTTCAACCACTGGTTTACACGCATGCAGTTCAGCGTCAGTGTCAAAGCATTGCGTAGTGAGCACGTCTTCATTGCTGGGAACAGGTGGTAGTCGCTTGGTGCCAAATCCGGGTTGTACGGCGGATGATTGAAACTTCCCATCCAAAACCATCCAAGTGCTTTTGGATACGATTGGCCGTGTGTGGGCGAGCATTGTCGTGGAAAAACAAAACTTTGTTGCTGAGTTTTCACCGACGCTTGTTTTGTATTGCGCGTCTTAGTTTTATAAGTATTTCGCAATACCTTTCTGAGTTGATTGTGATTTTTCGCCAACAAAATCCTTATCAAAGCCCGCATTTTACAACTGGCGGGATTTTCGTATGCAGCGCTCATTTTACCAGTCCACTGTAAACAAAGTACGATAGGAACAATGTGTAGTACCATTGCTGGTTGCGTAGAAACTACTAGAAACACTAGGTTTGTTCGTGTTTTCAGTTTTACTTGTGCAGAACCGTTCCAGACATGCATAGTAGACTAAAAGTGTTCGTGTTTTCTGGAACTTAGTTTTTTTTTTAAATGATTCTGAACTGTTTTAAAGAATTCTATGTGATTGTAGTCAAAAGTGCGAACTGAGAACAATCTTTCTAGTCACACATGCGCATTGCACCATTAAAAAAATAATAAACAAGGTTAGAGGTTAGGTATATTATATTGTAAATTTCCTTGAATATGGAATTATAGGAATTTGACTAAGAAAATTAATTTTCTTCATAATTTATCTTTTTCTTTAAACTAAGAACATATTAACGGTGACGATTACAAAAGGGAAAACTGCGTGTTTGTTGTTAGTTTTTTTTAATGCTAAATAATAATTATTTTACCCCACAATTTTAACAAAATCAATTGACAGTTGATAATTTAGGTGTTCGTGTTAATGTCTAATCCAAAACTGTTCGGAAAAATTCCACACTTGTGCCACTGAGCAACTTATGTTTTGAATAACACGAACAAACCTACTCTGACGCCTGATGCCTACTATTAGAGCCATAACCACATACAAATTTGAAAGAAATTTTCAAATTCAAATACCAGCGCGAGAATCCTGGAAACAGGGACCTCTGGTACACAGACGGTTCAAAAAACAAGGAAGGAGCCGGTGCTGGAATCTATGGGCCCAAGTCGAAAACAACGATTTCGCTGAGTTTAGGAAAATATGCAACAGTGTTCCAGGCTGAACTAATAGCATTACAACACTGTGCAAGAGAAATATTAAATCAGCAAGTATCAGGCAAAACTATTGCCATATATTCTGATAGCCAAGCAGCTCTAAAGGCAGTTCTGTCACCAGAAATCAAATCATGACTGGTGAACTACTGTCTAGAAGACCTGGCAGAGCTAAGTAGTCAAAATAAGGTGACCCTAGCCTGAGTTCTAGGCCATGAGGGATATTAGGGCAACGAAAAGGCCGACGAATTACCCCGAGATGGCTCAGATAAGGCCATGACAGGTACCGAACCCTTCTTAGGAGTTGCTATGGCATTGTGCAAGGCATCCATTAGACAATGGATGCAAAAAGAGTCTCATGGATGGTGGAACAACTATCCAAGACTGAGACAGGCCAAACAGTTCATCAAGGACCCATTGGACAAGTTCACGAAAGACTTACTGGATCAAAAGCGTCAAACAGTTAGGATAACAGTAGGCCTTCTTACTGAACACTGTCGCCTCAACAGGCACATGCGTGTCATCAATCCAGCAGAAGAAGCAACTTTGTGCAGGTTCTGTGAAGAAGAAGAGAAAACATCATCCCACGTCCTGTGAGGTTTCTAACATTGGGCGAAGAAATGTCAAATGTATACAACTACATGCGGGATCCACTGTCAAAGCTACTAAGTCTAATAAAAAAAAGACCAGGATAAACGACATACTCTAAAACAAACGGAGTCCCACAATATATCGGAAAAGGTCGCGCTGGACAAGGACAAATAACGTCCAACTCCTAATCTAATCTAATCTACTCTGACGCCAAAATACTGGCGCTAGCAAAGCACATTACTTTCTGGATAGCCGCAGTCGTTAAGGTTTTTCAAAGTCATGATATGTACAGAGAGATGAAGAGAGTAATGTATTTTTTTGTCATATTTGTTGCGTTTCAGTAAATTTGCTGAATAAATTCAGCGTAATGCTGGACAAATATAGCGTTTTGCTGTGCGTTTACTGTAAAAGATCAAATACTGAAGAGAGTTTGAAAATCTTGTAAAATACAGCAAAATGCTGTACATATTGCCATCCTAGTGTATATAAATCGAAAAAGGAATAAAACAATGATACTTTACACGATTTACTGTGAAAAATCCTTAATTTCGAGCAAAAAGAAATTGCAAGAAACTGGGGTTGTGGGTTTTTTAAAAAAAAAGTACATAAGCAAACGTAATAAATACAAAAAACAATATTATAAATAAAAACTAATAAACAAAACTATAGACAAAACTTCTTTTTTGTTCTGGAAAGTAATATTCCTTTTTTTTTCTATTTGAATTCGACAATGCCATTAGCAAAACTTCTTTACTGGTTGCCTCCGTGCAATCCGTATCAGCAATCAATATGACTATATATTATTGGATTTTTCCCTTCTAGTAAACGAGCGCCTTCCTAATTTTTAAACATTTTCGTAGACACTTATTGATATAAATAATAATATAAGATTTTTCTTCTCTCCTCTACATTTCATAGATATACTAAAAATAAATAAACTATTTTTGTTATTTCTGGCTCATCTTGTACATTCCTTGTGTAAACATTCTTGAAGATTAGCGGCCATTTTCTGTGTTCAATTACTGAAGTCGCGCGTAATTGTCATTAAGGGGGCCAATTGCGAGAGCAAACTAGTATACGAAATTTGGAGAAAAGCTTTCGATAGTTAGGGTCAAAGTCCAATTTCCATTTTCACGCTCCCTGGCGGTCGAAAGCTTTCTCGTGTACCCGGTCACATCCACATAACAATAAAGCCAACTAACCTGACACATTCGGTTATTTATAATGTCATTAGTGTCATTTGCGGGCTGAAATTCAAAAAATTTAAGTGAACGACATCGTCGGGAAAATCTGTACAGCATTTTGAATGTATCGCTTTTATTGCGGAATCGCTCTTAGAATTTTATTAAACGGTTCTTAAATATTTTTTCGTTTAAAAAACAAAAATTCTACTTTTTATTATCATAAGAGTATGTAATGTAAGATTAAAAATTATTTTCCTTTGAGTGAGATTTTTATTTTTAGAAGAATATTTTTTTTACATATTTACTCAGATTATTCTCTAAACAGTGCATGAATCTCTGGCCTCGAGAACTATAATCTAAAGGTGTGTCCTCACCGAATCAACACTGTTGATCGACTCTGTCTATCGACGTTGTCGACTTTGTGTGTACGCGGCAATCGACGGTGTCGATCGACAAAATAAATCGATCGACATATCGATTTGTTTTCCATTGCCTGTAGGTAAACGTGAAAGAGCAGTCGATCGATTTTAGTGTGTGGACGTGTTCGACGTTCGACATTCGACAAACTGTTAGTACTGAGTACTAAGTACTCAGTAACGTCTTGCCTTGTTGACATTGTAGTTGTGTTTTCGTTGGAGAAATAGAATGGGAACAAGATAAAGTCATAGCCTTTATTGAGCCATACAAACTAAGAACAAATATATGGGATTCTAAAAACAAAAACTGTAAGAGCAGAAACTTTAGGCACGATTATGAAAATTGCTAATGAATTTAACGACGAGAAGCAGACGTCATCTTCTTTAAATCTTCTATCAAATTACTAGCGTTGTATCTAGTTCTATTTTGAAGACTTGGTCGAACCCAATATCTTCTTTTGCGTGCAAGTTTTTTTTTTTAGTCGCGACAATAATATATGCGGCACAAGCAACTATAATGTCATCTTCGTCAGACATGTTAATTTCGACTGATCGACAAAAATTTCTGTCAACTCTGGTGTGGACAGATGCAGTTTTTTAGACTTGTTGATCAACAATGTCGATAGACAGAGTCAATCGGCAATGTTGAGTCGGTGAGGACGCACCTTAAGACAAATTTAACAGTAACGAATTTACATTTAACATCACATTTATATCACAGTGTGGGCTAATACTAACTAATATCTACATATAAAATAATAACCTTTTACTACGGTTTATGGGAAGTGTTGATAGTGGTTTAAACTTTACAGTGTTAATAGTGTCATCATAGACTTACACCTTTTAATATGAAACTATTTTTGAAAACCGTACATGAAGCGGTACTCTAACATTTATATCATATAAATAGGTATTAGTAAATACTAGACTTAATTAACATAATCATTCAAAAGAAAAAAAAAATCGAATTAAATAAAATTTTGCATTTTTAAGAAATATATGTTTGTTTTATTAATAATGACGCCATCCTTT